GTCTAATAATACTACAGATTAGCATTATATCAAAGTTAAATTTCCTGGGAATTCCCTGGCAGTCCAGTGTAGAATTCCATGTTTTCACTGCAGGGCGCATGAGTTCAATCCCTGGTTGGGGAACTAAGATCTCACAGACCACGCAGTCAAAAAAACAGACAGACAAAATCCAGAGTTAAATTTCTTGATTTCGAAAACTTGGTTTATAAAAATGATTTCCTCCTTCTTAAGAAATAAAAATTTAAGTATTTAGTGGAAAAGAAGCATAATGTCTGCAATTTACTCTTAAATGGTTCAGTAAAATATATATAGAGAGTGAAAGTGAAAGTTGCTCAGTCATGTCCAACTCTTTGCAACCCCATGGACTATACAGTCCTTGGAATTCTCCAGGCCAGAACACTGGAGTGGGTAGCCTTTCCCTTCTCCAGGGGATCTTCCTAACTCAGGGATCGAACCCAGTCTCCCTCACTGCAAGCGGATTCTTTACCAACTGAGCTATCAGGGAAGCCCCCAACATAGAGAGAGAATTATAAAGCAAATGCAGGAGAATGTTAATGACTGATGAATCAAAAAGAAGGGTATATGGAAATCTCTTGTACTATTTTCAAAATTTTTTTTAGTAAGTTTGCAATTGTTGGGTTATTTGGACTTTGTCCCACACCCAACCAAATGGTTTCCCAGAATTCTCTGAGTGAAAGGCACCACCATCTAATCTGGCACATAAGCTGGAAATGGGAAATATCCTCAGCAATTCCTTCACCAATTACCAAATCCTGCCAATCTTACTTCCTAAATATTTCTCAAATCTATCCATATCTTCCCATCTTTCTATAACTTTAATTCAAACTACAATAACCTTTCATGTAGACTACTACAATAACATCCTTTACTATCTGAGCCACAAGGGAAGCCCAGTGCAATAACAACCTAACCGGCTTCTTGTCCAATAAGTTCTCTAGAACATTTTCTTAAAATGTTTCTGTTTGGTTTTGGTACTAAGGTTATACTAGTCTCATAGAATCAGTTGAGAAATGCTGCTTCTCTTCTACTTCTTAGGAAAATCTGTGAAGAATTGGTATGAATTCTTATTTAAAATGTTTGATTCAAAGCCATCTGGGCCTGAGCTTCTTTTTGTAGGTAAGTTTTTGTTTTTTTCATTACTAATTACTTGTTATAAGTACATTTGGATTGTCTACTCCTTCTTGAGATAGTTTTCGCAGTTTGTATCTTTGTAGGAATTAGTAGGAATTTGTGCATTTTACATAAGTTATCTAATTTATTGGCATAAAATCGTTCATAGTATTTTTTTATAATCCTTTTCATTTCTATCGGGTCAGCAGAAATAGCCTCTTTTCATTTATGATTCTAGCACTTTGAGCCCTCATTTTTTCCTTTCCAAAAATAAAGGTTTCTCAATTTTGTTGATCTTTACAAAGAACAAGCTTTTGCTTCTTTGATTTTTCTCTACTGTTTTTCTACTCTTGATTTCATTCATTTCCACTCTAGTCTTTCTTATTTCCTTCCTTCTGCATGCTTTTATATTTAATGTGCTCTTCTTTACCCAGCATCTTAGGTAAAAGAATAAGGTACTAGAATGAGATCTTTCTTCTTTTTTCACTATGGACACTAATTGCCATAAATTTCCCTCTAAGCGTGCAGTAGCTGCAGCCCAGTTTTGGTACGCAGTGCATTCATTCACCTCAAAGTATTCACTAATTTACGTGCTGATTTCCTGACTCACTGGTTAAACAGGAGCATGTTGTTTAGTTTCCACATATTTGTGGTTTTCCTGATTTTTTTCTGTTACTCATCTAATTTAATTCCATTATAGTTGGAAAACATACTCTGCATTATTTCTATTAAAAGGGGGAATGTTATTTTAATGTGAATCATATCTCAAAGATCACTATATGCCAAAAATCACAGACAAAATAGCATTAAGCAATAGAAACAGTAACTATAGTTATGAATCATAGACAGCCTTTATTTACTTGAATTTGCAAAAGCTTGTGGCAGATTTCTACCCAGTTATGAGCCTCTACAAATGGTGAAGGCATGCACAAAAAATCCATATGAGAAACTAGCAAGAACATGCAAAGTTCATTCCCAAGACAGAACCAGAGATCAAATTGCCAACATCCGTTGGATCCTTGAAAAAGCACAAGAGTTCCAGAAAAAACATCTGCTTTACTGACTACGCCAAAACCTTTATGTGGATCACAACAAACTGTGGAAAATTCTTAAAGAGATGGGAATACCAGACCACCTGACCTGCCTCCTGAGAAATATGTATGCAGGTCAAGAAGCAATAGTTAGAACTGGATATGGAACAATAGACTGGTTCCAAATCGGGAAAGGAGTACGTCAAGGCTGTATCTTATTTAACTTCTAGGCAGAGTACATCATGAGAAATGCCAGGCTGGATGAAGCACAAGCTGGAATCAAGACTGCTGGGAGAAATATCAATAACTTCAGATATGCAGATGACACCACCCCCATGGCAGGAAGTGAAGAAGAACTAAAGAGCCTCTTGAAGAAAGTGAAAGAGGAGACTGAAAAAGCTGGCTTAAAACTCAACATTCAGAAAACTAAGATCATGGCATCTGGCCCCATCACTTCAAGGCAAATAGATGGGGAAATAATGGAAACAGTGAGAGTCTTTATTTTGGGGGGCTCCAAAATCCCTGCAGGTAGTGACTGCAGCCATGAAACTAAAAGACGCTTGCTCCTTGGAAGAAAAGCTATGACCAACCTACAGAACATATTGAAAACAGAGACACTACTTTGCCAACAAAGGTCCGTCTAGTCAAAGCTATGGTTCTTCCAGTAGTCATGTATAGATGTGAGAGCTGGACTATAAAGAAAGCTGAGTGCCGAAGAATTGATGCTTTTGAATGGTGGTGTTGGAGAAGATTCTTGAGAGTCCCTTGGACGGCAAGGAGATCCAACCAGTCCATCCTAAAGGAAATCAGTTCTGAATATTCATTGGAAGGACTGATGCTAAAGCTGAAACTCCAATACTCTGGGCACCTAATGAGAAGAATTGACTCATCTGAAAAGATCCTGATGCTGGGCAAGATTGAAGGTGAGAAGAGAAGGGGATGACAGAGGATGAGATGGCTGGATGGCATCACTTGACTCGATGGACATGAGTTTGAGTAAACTCTGGGAGTTGGTGATGGACAGGGAGGCCTGGAGTGCTGCAGGCCATGAGGTTGCAAACAGTCAGACACGACTGAGCGATTGAACTGAACTGAACTGAAGACAGGACATACAAATGAAGAAAAAATAGGAAAAATTTTTAAATGAAATACCATTTCCTTCTTATCAAGTTAACAGGTTTACGTTGCTTTTAAAACATTAATATCCAAATGCTAGAATAATATGTGAAATTATGCACTCTCATATACTGTGGATAGGCTTAAACTAGCATACTGTAGAAAATAATTTGCCAAAAGTATCAAAAGCCTTAAAAACAAAAATTCTTAATGCTTTCATCCAGTAATTCTACTGTGACAATGTATGTTTAGGAAATAACCCTAGATACAGGAAATACTTTAGACTAATCACATTCATTGTGTGGTATTATTTACTATTTTAAAAAATGGTTAAAATATAAATGTCCACTATTAAGAGAATGGTTAGGCCAAACTATGGTTTGATTACTGGACAAAATATCATGCATCCATTAAAAATATTTATAAAACATTTACAATATAAAGAAAATACTTCTGTTATGTTAGTCAAAAAGCAAAACTGAATATAGGATATGATTACAGCTATATGAGGAAAAAGAAAGCAAACAATCTGTATACAGAAAAAATGTCAGAAAGGATACACCAAAAGGCTAATAATGGTTGCCTTTACATAGTGAATTATGAGTGTAGTTCTTTCTTTATACTTCTTTCCAAATCTCCATGAGTATAAATTTTTATAATTAAAGATTTCTTTAGAACAAATTTAAGAAACTATTGCTTCAAGCAGATTAATCCACTAAGTAAAACACCTCTCTCATAAACACAACCTCCCAGATACCTATATTCTCTCACGTGGAAGATGTACGTATTCTCTCAAACATGTAATTCCTAGTTTTCTTCCACTTAAGCTTTTAATACTGTACTTCTCAAAGTGTTGCAGGCTTTTTCGTTGTTGTCACTGTTTATTAAGATAAATGAAATACTCTTTCCTGAGGTTCAGAAATAATTTTCTGATTCCATGAATGTAACCCTTCCACAATTCAAACATATTGTCTCCTTATATTCTCAAAACAAATTTATCAAAAAGATTAAAAGTAAAGCCAATTCTACAAGGTTTAGGAGCTGGTGCTATGCATAAAAAGAAGCTAATTTAAAGTTCCAAATTAAAAAGAATTTGGCTTTGGAATCAGAAAAGAGTTTATGCCCTGGTTCTGCAACTACCTAAGTATGAAAACGTGGACAAACTAAACTCCTTCAACCTCAGTTCCCATGTTAGTAAAAGAGATATAACAGCAGTTCCCTAAAGGACTATGAGGAACAAATGAAAGTATCATAATTCCTAACTGTTTACAGGTGTTATGCCTGAGAAGAGGGACTAGGAGGGAAAGATGGAGTGGCTTTCACTTATTTTATTTCTGTATTAGTTAACTTTGTTTTTAACAATGAGCATACACCATAGGAATAAAATTACTTTTCTTTCAAAAAGATAAAAAATAGTACCATAATAAGCAGAGAGCATATGTTAGACATGGAATACATGGTAGTTCCCGTAATTATTTTCATTTCTTTTGGGACAGTGAGGAAGTTTATTTTATAACAAGTTACTCAACTTTATTCCTAATCCAACATCAAGAAACAAACAAAAAATGAAGCAGTTCTTAAAGCTATTTAAGAGTCTTTGGCAATTCACAGTTATAGACTTAGGATGGAGGTAAGCAGATCTGACAGCTCAGGTCACTTCTCCAGATAATGCAAAACTGTTCAGTAAAGAGGCAACCCTGTATCTAACCATTATATTCTTACCTTGCAGGCTACATCAACTAATCGCATCTGGATAGCTTGATTCTCTGGGAGTTTAGTGCCAATTGCAAGCAAAGTGTCCAACAGTTGAGCAAGGACTTGATGAGACTCTAGAAAGGAAGATGGAAAGTTAGGTTTTAGAATTTCAAAAGGAGATTACTATAGAAACTAAATTTACTTGGGTATAAAGAATGCAGATTTTTTGTCAGCTGAGTTCTGCTGTTTGATTCTTGACTCCCCTCAACTAAAAGCTAAGTTCCTAAAGGGATCATGTCTAAAAATTTGAGTCCTCCACAGGATGTGACATAGTGCTCCAAAAATGTTCAGTGCTTGACTAATTCAAAGGCTTTTCACTGCCTTCAAAATAAAGTCTAAATTCCTTAGCAGGACACATATACATACTAGTCCCTCCACGATGCCTAGTTCGCCCTACTTTATTAGCCTCATCTCTTTCAGGTTTCCCTAGCTGCCTTTTCCCCAATTACTTATGATTCCACGTCCCCCTGTCTTTGCTCAGGCCCACTTCCCTACTGAGAATGCTTTCACCTACATCCTGCTCCATCCTCAGCCCCACTCCCCAGAGAGCACCTCCTAATCTTGAAATGTCACCTCCTGTATGGTGCTTTTCACTCCTCCCCTAAAAATATTGACCATTTCTTCGTTCATGTTTCCACTGAACCCTTTACATCAACCGTAACTTTATGATACTTATTTGAATATCAGACAAAACCAGGAAACGGAAAGATCCTTAAGGGCAAGGGCTATGTTTCATTCACCTTTGTATTCGCAGAATCTAGTATGCCTCATTACATGCTCAACGGATGCTTAATAAATGGGAAAACAGACAATTCCAAGTAAATCACTATCAATCACCTTAACCAGATTCTCTTCTTTGTTCCAAAATATGGTTCTATGGTTCTATACTAGTGGTATACAAGAGGATCTAGGAGGCATGCAGAAAGTAATTTTTATGATAATAACCTTGTACAGACATACTTTGTTCTATTGTGCTTCATTTTACTGCACTTTGTAGACACTATATTTTTTATCAATTGAAGATTTGCCTCAATCCTGCTTATTAAGCAAGTCTTCTGCACCATTTTTCAAGAGCATTGCTCACTTCATGTTTGTCACCTTTTGGTAATTCTTGCAGTATGTCAAACTTTCATTACTTTATTTGTTATGGTGATTTGTAGTCAATGATCTTTGATGTTACTATTGCAAAAAGATCACTACTTGCTAAAGGCTCAGATTATGGTTAACATTTTTTATCAGTACAGTATTAAGGTAGTACATTCTTCTTAGACATAATGCTATTGCACACAATAAACTATAGTGTAGTATAGACATTACTTTTATCTGCACTGGGAAATCAAAAACTCAGGTGACTCACTTTACTGCAATATTTAATTTACTGTGATCATCTGGAACAGAATCTGCCATATCTCAGAGGTATGCATGTATATATTTTAAAGAACAAAATAAAAATTATAGTTACTATGCTGATGACATTAATTTCCTTTTACTATTACTAATATAGTCTCTTTAAATTAATTTTATTTAACTAAAAAAAAATAACTGTCCACTTAAGAAAAACATTAAGAAATCCATAATATAGATGTGAAACAAATGTCAAAAATGATAATGATATATAAACAACTAAAGCTTAAAAAAAAAGCTTAAAACAAACAAACAAACAAAAAAGCTTATAAAACACTGGGAAAATCACCTCTTAAAAACACTTCTAGTAAGATACACTAGATTGAACACCTCTGTTTATCACTAATTTTTTCTTAAAACCTCATTAACATATAAAGAAACTGTAAAAGTATAAATTTACAAGGACAAGAAAACAGAAGAAGAATAGTAAGCAGATGAGAAAAGTCAATTTTTTTCAGAGATGGCAAGCAAATGAAAAAGTCTATGGCAGAACTGAGAAATCTAATACTAAATGCCTACTGAGGAGGGTGTCACAACAGAGCAAATAAATTCCAGCCATATGCCAAGCAAGATTCAGGAATCATAGATATAAAAGAAAAGAAAAAAAAAAAAAAAAACACAAAACACCCCAAAATGGAGTGAGGCATGGATTTGTTTAAAGTTTCTGTAAGAAGTAGTTGGACCGCCACCTCCTTCCCTATGCTATATAACAAGTTAATCAACCACTGAGGTAGAGTTTTTTCCTCTAAAAATTAGGGCAGAAAGGATCTAATCTGGCAGATGCGAGGTGAGGAAAGGAAGGAAATATAATAAAGATAATATATAATAAATATAAATATAACCAATCTGACCACATGGATCACAGCCTTGTCTAACTCAATGAAACTATGAGCCATGTCGTGTAGTTCTACCCAAGATGGACGGGTCATGGAGGAGAGTTCTGACAAAACGTGGCCCACTGGAGAAGGGACTTCAGTATCCTTGGCTCGAGAACCCCATGAACAGTATGAAAAGGCAAAAAGATAGGACACTGAAAGATGAACTACTCAGGTCGGTAGGTGCCCAATATGCTACCAGAGATCAGTAGAAAAATAACTCGAGAAAGAATGAAAAGACAGAGCCAAAGCAAAAACAACACCCAGTTGTGGATGAGACTGGTGATGGAAGTGAAGTCCAATGCTGTAAAGAGCAATACTGCATAGGAACCTAGAATGTTAGGTCCGTGAATCAAGGCAAACTGGAAGTGCTTAAAGAGATCACAAGAATGAACATAGGCATTTTAGAAATAATCAGCAAACTAAACTGGCCTGGAATGGGTGAATTTAATTCATATGACCATTTTATCTACTACTGTGGACAAGAATCCCGAAGAAATGGAGTAGCCATCACAGTCAACAAGAGTCTGAAATGTAGTACTTGGAGGCAATTGCAAAAACGACAGAATGATCTCTGTTCGTTTCCAAGGCAAACCATTCATATTACACTAATCCAAGCCCATGCCCCGACCAGTAACGCTGAAGAAGCTGAAGTTGAAGAGTTCTATGAAGACCTAAAATACCTTCTTAAACTAACATCCAAAAAAGATGTCTTTTTCATTACAGGGGACTAGGATGCACAAGTAGGAAGTCAAGAAGTACATGGAGTAACAGGCAAATTTGGCCTTGGAGTACAGAATGAAGCAGGGCAAAGGCTAACAGAGTTTTGCCAAGAGAACGCACTGGTCACAGCAAACACCCTCTTCCAACAACACAAGGGAAGACTCTACACACGGACATCACCAGATGGTCAACACCAAAATCAGACTGATTATATTCTTTGCAGCCAAACAGAGAAGCTCTATACAGTCATCAAAAACAAAACCAGAAGTTGACTGTGGCTCAGATCCTGAGCTCCTTATTGCCAAATTCAGACTTAAATTGAAGAAAGTAAGGAAAGCCACTAGACCATTCAGGTGTGACCTAAATCTAATTCCTTACGATTATACAGTGGAAATGACAAATAGATTCAAGGGATTAGATCTGATATACAGAGTGCCTGAAGAACTAGGGATAGAGGTTCATGACATTGTACAGGAGGCAAGGATCAAGACCATCCCCAAGAAAAAGAAATGCAAAATGGTTGTCTGAGGAGGTCCTACAAATAGCTATGAAAAGAAGAGAAGTGAAAGGCAAAGGAGAAAAGGAAAGATATACCCATTTGAGTGCAGAGTTCCAAAGAATAGCAAGGAGAGATAAGAAAACCTTCCTCAGTGATCAGTGCAAAGAAATAAGGGGAAATAACAGAATGGGAAAGACTAGAGATCTCTTCAAGAAAATCAGAGATACCAAGGAACATTTCATGCAAAGATGGGCACAATAAAGGACAGAAATGGTATGGACCTAACAGAAGCAGAAGATATTAAGAAGAGGTGGCAAGGATACACAGAAGAACTATACAAAAAAGATCTTCATGACTCAGATAATCACGATGATGTGATCACTCACCTAGAGCAGACATCCTAGAATGTGAAGTCAAGTGGGCGTTAGGAAGCATCTCTATGAACAAAGCTAGTGGAAGTGGTGGAATTCCAGTTGAGCTATTTCAAATCCTAAAAGATGATGTTGTGAAAGTGCTGCACTCAATATGCCAGCAAATCTGTAAAACCCAGCAGGGGCCACAGGACTGGAAAAGGTCAGTTTTCATTCCAATCCCTAAGAAATGCAATGGCCCAAGCTACTGCACAACTAAGAATACTCAAGCTACTGCACAACTGCACTCATCTCATACACTAGCAAAGTAATATTCAAAATTCTCCAAGCCAGGCTTCAACAGTACATGAACCATGAACTTCAGATGTTCAAGCTGGATTTAGAAAAGGCAGAGGAACCAGAGATCAAATTGCCAAGATCCGCTGAATCATCAAAAAAGCAAGAGAGTTCCAGAAAAACATCTATGTCTGCTTTACTGACTATGCCAGAGCCTTTGACCTGTGTGGAAAATTCTAAAGAGACGGAATACCAGACCACCTGACCTGCCTCCTGAGAAATCCGTATGCAGGTCAAGAAGCAACAGTTAGAATTGGACGTGGAACAACAGACTGGTTCCAAATCGGGAAAGGAGTATGTCAAAGCTGTATATTGTCACCCTGCTTATTTAACTTCTATGCAGAGTACATCATGAGAAATGCCAGGCTGGATGAAGCACAAGCTGGAATCAAGACTGCAAGGAGAACTATTAATAATGTCATCTCAGATATGCAGATGATACCACCCTATGGCAGAAAGTAAAGAACTAAAGAGCCTCTTGATGAAAGTGAAAGAGGAGACTGAAAAAGCTGGCTTAAAACTCAACATTCAGAAAACTAAGATCATGGCATCTGGTCCCATCACTTCATGGCAAATAGATGGGGAAATAATGTAAACAGTGAGAGTCCTTATTTTGGGGGGCTCCAAAATCATTGCAGGTGGTGACTTGCATCCATGAAATTAAAAAATGCTTGCTCCTTGGAAGAAAAGCTATGACCAACCTAGGCAGCATATTGAAAAGCAGAGACATTACTTTGCCAACAAAGGTCCGTCTAGTCAAAGCTATGATTCTTCCAGTAGTCATGTACGGATGTGACAGTTTATAAAGAAAGCTGAGTGCGGAAGAATTGATGCTTTTGAACTGTGGTATTAGAGAAGACTCTTGAGAGTCCCCTGGACTGCAAGGAGATCCAACCAGTCCATCCTAAAGGAAATTAGTCCTGAATATTCATTGGAAGAACTGATGCTGAAGCTGAAACTCCAATACTTTGGCCACCTAATATGAAGAACTGACTCACTGGAAAAGACCCTGATGCTGGGAGAGATTGAAGGTGGGAGGAGAAGGGGATAACAGAGGATGAAATGGTTGGATGGCATCACTGACTTAATGGACATGAGTTTGAGTGAGCTCTGGGAGTTGACGGACAGGGAGGCCTAACATACTGCAGTCCACGGGGTTGCAAAGTGTTGGACACGACTGAGGGACTGAACTGAACTGATAATAAAGAGCTTAAGAGATAATCAACATACTGAAAATGAGACTCCCTCCCTAACACTCTTTGGCTGCTTTGGCTAAAAAAAAACATAGCAGTCAGGCATCTGTCCTCCCAGCAGGAGAGTCAAAAGTTGACAGGCCCACAAAAAACAGCAGAAGACACTACTATTTAACAGTCCTCCAGAGACACATAGGATCATGTTAGAGTGGAGCCTATCAGCTGACAGCCCCATCCATTCACAAAGAACTCCCCATCAGCTTTTTAGTGCCTCATCCTAAACTTCAATGCAAAGCCAAAGATCATCAAGAAAAGTCTCCACAAACACAACATTGTAGGGGACTTCCCTGGTGGTCCTCCATGCTTCCAAAGCACGGGGCCTGGTCCAACCCCTGGCCAGGGAACTAAATCCCACATGCTGCAACTAAAAGATGGGGCACGCCTCGACAAAGACTGAAGATTCTGCAAGCAGCAACCAAGATCTGGCCCAGTCAAACAAGTAATATGGAGAAACAAAACAAAACGAGCACAACAGTGTAAATCAATTATATTCCAATGAGAATATAAGAATTTTTTTAAGTTGAAAAGATTAAAAAAGGAAAGGTAAGTCTCCAATATGAAAGAGGTCACAAAGAGAAAAAAAGGTACTAAGAGAAAACAGAAGAAAGGTGAAGAAATCAATACCACCATACTGCTCTAAAATTTATTTCTTCAAAAAGATGATTCTGCATGACAACCATAAAAAGACAGCTAGACCTTTTTGAACTCTTTTTTTTTAATTGTTTAGTTTTTATTTCATAATCATAAATTTAACTTTGCAATCCAGCTAAACTTGAAGGGGGATAAGGAAAATATGGAACCCAAAGAACTGTAACGAGAGCACAAAGATTATGGGATATTTCAAGCAGATGGGGGTGAAGGGGTGCTCTCCTGGGCTACAGCAGAATGGTCTGGTGGTTAAGTAAAACACAAGTCAAATTTATTAGATTTGTCCACAGTCAGCAATGGTGATCTTCTTGCTGGTCTTGCCATTCCTGGACCCAAAGCACTCCATGGCTTCCACAGTATTCATGCCCTCTTTTACCTTGCTAAAGACCACATGCTTGCCATCCAACCACTCAGTCTTGGCAGTGCAGATGAAAAACTGGGAACCGTTTGTGTTAGGGCCAGCATTTGCCATGGACAAGATGCCAGGACCTGTATGCTTCAGGATGAAATTCTCATCATCAAATTTCTCACCACAGATGGACTTGCCACCAGTACCATTATGGCGTGTGAAGTCATCACCCTTGGCACATAAATCCCAGAATTATTCTGTGAAAGCAGGAACCTTTATAACCAAATCCTTTCTCCACAGTGCTCAGAGCACGAAAGTTTTCTGCTGTCTTTGGAACTTTGTCTGCAAACAGCTCAAAAGAGACGCGGCCCAAGCGCTCGCTGTCAACAGCAATGTCAAAGAACACGGTGGGGTTGACCATGGCTAGACAGCAAGGAAGGCTCCGGGGTGGCGGCGTCTGCAAGGCCTGAACTTAACTCTTGACTCTAATAAATCACAAATCTAATCTAAATCTTAAATCCTGGTCTCTCTGCTGAGTTCCAGGCCTACATTGTAACTTCAGGTTAGATGGACAATGCCACAAGAATAAAGGAATCCTCCACATTTCTTCTCTAAACCACCCAGTTCATCAAAGCAAATTCCACACAACCACTAAATTATCCTTATAAAACTAGACTTGATCACTTCATGCCTTGTTCAAGGAGAACTAGGTACCCACTGCCTACAAAATAACATTTAAAATTCTCAGCACTCAAGACTGCTACCCTTTGGCTTCAGAACATTTTAACAATGTTTTTCTTCCAAAAGCCCCTTACTTCCTTCCTATTGATCTCTCAAACAACTCAGTTCTTCAAACATCTCTTATACTTTGCCAGTCTTCTATCTTCTATCATCTCGTTCCTTCTTGGTACCACTCTTCCCCAAATTTGGAGGATTTGGACTTTCCAAACCTACCTTTTCACTAAGCCTTTCTAGAGCCCATCAGTCAGCACTGATCCCATTCTCTCCTCTGCTCCCACAGTATGTTAATTATACCTCCTCTGAAACAAGCTTGACATTATCATTAGTGGTGTAGCATGTACTAGAGAAGCAATGCTTGCCAAAGTGTTATAAAATTCAGGCATTTGATGAACTTAACTTAAAGACTTCTGATCCAAAGTGCAGACCACAGTCTTGGATTTGGTAATATTAAGACTGATAATTGGGAAACTCTTAACTTTAAGCCGCAAATACAAAGTGACTTCAGCAGTCACTTTAATTCCCTGGAGTTCATCTTCCTCAGCCTTGAAATAAAGGGCTTGAATTAGATGAAACTTACGGTCCCTTCCAATTCTATCTTCTATGACTCTAGGTGGGCCAGGAACAGGGAACCAGGAAGAGTCCTAGACCAGATCTCTTAGAGACAATTAAGTAAGAAACATTAGAATATTTAAAGTAAAACAGCTATTTCCATGAATACTGCATAGTTTGGCTATAATGAGCTCTGATTTAAAACTAAGTCTCTGTCTTAATGTTTCTGTTTCAGAGGTAAAGTGTTTTTAGTTAAATCTTAGTCCATAAAAGAGCCCCACACTAAGCTCTCAGTTCTGCCACCACTTTTGGCTAGACCAACTCACTTCAACTCATCTCAGCTCTCTGGGACTTAACAGTCTTGTCATCTGCAAACTGCAGCCATTAGACAAGATGATCACTAGAAGGCCATTTATATCTCAAACAGTCTATGACTCTATGAAATCCCCAATCACAAAGTAAGAAATTCTTCCAAGGATAGCTCATATAAGAAGTTTTTCCATGTAAAAAAAAAAGGATATTGAGGCAATGTAATTGCTTTGGTGCTTTTAAAAGAAGTATTTTTTTTGCCACTACCTACAAGAGCAAAGAAATATCTATTAGTATGTAATATATTATCAACACCCTAATTTTTATGAAGGTAATGTATAAAAGTGGGAAAATTATATATAATGTTAAGTAAATATACTAAAAGATAAAATAATACACTCACTGTAAGTACAACCATATAAAACTTATGTAAGTAAAAGATAATATGTAAAACAAATAGTTTTATGGTAGCAGTAGGAATATTTTTAAATTTTTCCCTTAATATCACTACATTGGCCTTTCAATAAATATCAAAAAAAGTTTTTAAGGTTTGATTGTTTCCTATGAATTATAAGTCTGGGGTCAAAATTCAATACAACTAAAATTTAAAGTTATTCCTAACAAAAAATATTTTCAATTTCAACCAATGGGCCATTTACATTTGTACCATTAGTTGTACAATAAGTGAATTTAGATTATCTCTTGAGTTCACTCATAACCTCCTCAGTTTATAGAATAAACTGTTGTCCAATTTTAAATAGTCATATTTGTTTAAAATGGATACCCTAAAATGAAATAAAACTATTTTCTGCAATTATGACAAATTCAAACAAAACTACAATATTATCAGAAACACCAGCAATAGATCCTTTTTATTTAATTTCAGAGTAAGTATCAAAGCAATGAGGCACTAACTCTATTAGAAAATCTTGTAGATAAATAAAACAAGACACATATAATTTAAAAAAAATTCTTATGGTGAAACAGTTTTCCTTTTTACCTAAACACTGAGAAGTTTAGTGCACATCAACAAGGAACAACTAGAAAAGGCAACAACATATAGGAACTAAATGGTGGAGGACTCCATGACCAGGGGGGTGTGTGGGGTATGGGTGTGTGTACTCAGTTGCTCAGCCATGTCTGACTCTGCAACCCCATGAACTGTAGCCCACCAGACTCCTCCATGCATGGGATTCTCCAGGCAAGAGTACTGAAGTGGGCAGCCATTCCCTTCTCCAGGGGATCCTCTTGACCCAGGGATTGAATCTGTGCCTCCTGCATCTCTGCCGGTAAAGGCAGGTTCTTACCACTGAGCCACCCAGGAACCTCCTGCTGGGATGGGAGGCACAGTCAACAAAACATCAATTCTGTTACAGACTCGTAACCTTGAACAAGTCAGTTAACTTCTCTGAGCTTCAGTTTCCCCACCTATAAAATAAGGACAATAGTATCTATCTTATGTCATATGTAAACTACCTTAGGTATATGGCTGTTAGCAGAGGTCAATAAATGATAGCTATTAAGGGACAAACCTGTATTTTAACTCTAAGGTAAATATATGTACATGGTTTTACTGAATCATCCTCAAATTTCTGTTCAATAACCACCAATACAACAAAACTTTGCTCTACACTCTATACAAAAGGAACTAAAGATTTCTGCTCTAATTATACAACTTTTATTTATGTATTTGGTTGCAGAGCGAGGCATAGAGGATCTTAGTTTCCCAACCGGGGATGGAACTCCTGCCCCTTCAGTGGAAGTGCATATCCTAATCACTGGATCACCTGGGAATTCCCTCTACAGCTTTTAAACTGCAACTTACTTTCATTCTGCAGGATATTAATGGCATCATCCATAATGCAGTCTGGTGAAAATCCTGCAGTCTTTGACAGTAAACCCAACAATGATGCAATCTTCAGTCTCACAGATGGATCATTCTCCTGCAACAAAAGAAGCTATTGTTACCTTGATGCTCTACTCCCCGCTAACCAAAAACAGGAACATGGGAAATATCTCAAAAAAGATTCAATGATCCAAGTATTCTCAAGTTCTATTTCTGAAAAATTGGCTATATATGCTTTGGGGGAGAAAGTTTTTCTCAATCTGTATGTTACATCCAAATAATGCAACGTGAATGAGAATATTTTCACGCCTTCCCGATGTCATTAATTTCTAACCAGATGTATGCTTCTGGGATTAAAAGTACCTTTCTTCCACTGTGCAGTCACATTTGCCATGAGCTGCAGCAACTTGCGCCATGAACACTGAGTACTCCAACACTGATGTCAGCGCCACTGTTTTTGAAGCCTCCAGAAATTGGGTACTGCAGCTACCACTGCTATCACCAGAAAATTTTTGCTCTGTGTTTCTGGATCACTAGATCCGGATCAGAAGTCCAAGGCAGGTAGATCTAATTGTCTGAGTGTCGGTCCAAGGCCTGGGCCTGGATCTCGGTACCAGGGCAAGAGAGACTAAGAAATGATTTACTGGGCTTCCCTGGTGGCCCAGATGGTAAAGAATCCACCTGCAATGCAAGAGACCCAGGTTAGATCCCTGGGTCAGGAAGACCTCCTAATAGAAGGATATGGCAACCCACTCCAGGATTCTTGCCTGGAGAATTCCATGGGCAAGAATTCCACGGGCAGAAGAGCCTGGCGGGCTATAGGCTATGGGGACACAACTGAGTGAATGGTGGTTCAGTGGTTAAGAATCCACTTGCCAATGCAGGGGACACAGGTTCAATCCCTTGTCCAGGAAGACCCCCACATGGTGCAGAGCAACTAAGCCCATGCAACCCCAACTACTGGGCTTGTGCTCTAGAGCCTGCGAGCAGCAGCTACTGAGTCCATGTGCCACAACTACTGAAGTCCAATCACCCAGAACGTGTGCTCTGCAACGAGAGTCGCCACCACAATGAGAAACCCGCACATTGCAACTTGGGAGTAGCCCCCACGTGCCACAACTGGAGAAAACTCATGCACAGAAATGAAGACCTAGAGCAGTCAAAAATAAAATTAATTTTTAAAAAGAATTAACGTAATATCTAGGTTAACCAGTAAAAGAGGTACAAAAAAATGTATAATTCCCAAGCTAATAAAAAGCAGTGAAGGAGAGAATTTTTTAACAAGAGCCAATGCAAAACACAGTGAGAACTGAGAGGAAAAAAAGAACATTAAGCAGGTAAGATAAATAGAAGGCATTTCATAAGAGGATAGATTTAAAATCATATATTTCAATAAACACATATTATAAAGAACTAAATGTTCCAATTAAAAACTAAACACTGTTAAGTGAAATATCTCAAAAAACTAACTATATGCTGTTGGGTCACAAAATAAAAAGTGATTAAAAAAAAGATTTGAAAATAAAAGGTAGAAATAGGTATATAATGAAAACTTTAATCAAGAGATAGCTGGTATCATTATATAATATTAGACAAAGCCATTATATGCTGACAAGGTTATTTGTAAAGAATCTAAAAGAACCTACACATAATTTATTAAAATTGTTAAATGAGCTTAGCAATGTTGAAGATACAGGGTTTAATAAACAAAAAGCAACTGAATTTCTGAATATCCTCTATATACTACTTAAAAATAAGAATTTTTAAATGTATCATTTACAATAACAAAATATTAACTATCTAGGAATAACTAACAAAAAGATGTACAAAACTTCTACACAGGAAACAGCATTTAAATAATGGACATACCATGTCCATTGACTGTAAGACTCAATGTTATAAAATGTCAATCAGCAAATTGCATCTTAATTACAGAATTAATGCAACCCTAATCAAAATTCCGGAGAAGGCAATGGCAACCCACGCCAGTATTCTTGCCTGGAGAATCCCAGGGATGGGGGAGCCTGGTGGGCTGCTGTCTATGGGGTCGCACAGAGTCGGACATGACTGAAGTGACTTAGCAGCAGCAGCAGCAATCAAAATTCTGATAAGAAATTTTATTTTCAGGCAGATTTTCACAAGCTGATTTCAAAATTTATCAATAAATTAAAAAACCAAGAATAATTAATATATTCTTAAAGAAGAACAAAGTAGAAGTTACCCTACCAGATGTCAGAATTTATTATAATGCTATGCTAAGACATAGCATAGTGTTGGAGAAGACTCTTGAGAGTCCCTTGGACTGAAGGGAGATCCAACCAGTCCATCCTAAAGAAGATCAGTCCTGGGTGTTCACTGGACGGACTAATGCTGAAGCTGAAACTCCAATACTTTGGCCACCTCATGCGAAGAGTTGACTCACTGGAAAAGACCCTGATGCTGGGAGGGATTGGGGGCAGGAGGAGAAGGAGACGACAGAGGATGAGATGGCTGGATGGCATCACTGACTCGATGGGCATGAGTTTGAGTAAACTCTGGGAGTTGGTGATGGACAGGGAGGCCTGGTGTGCTGCGATTCATGGGGTCGCAAAGAGTCGGACACGACTGAGCGACTGAACCGAACTGATGCTAAGACAGCATAGTACCGGCATAAAAATAGACAAATACACTAGACAGAAACACAAACAATGCATACTAAGATTTGTACAAAAATGTTCATGGGAATACTTCTTTTAATAACTAAAAACTGGAGACAATCTAAATGTCCATCAATAATAAAATGAATAAATAAATAATGGTATATTCATACAATGAAATCTTACACTATGGTAAAAATAAATGAACTATAGCTAAAGTTAACAACAAAGATAAATCTCAAGATAGAATTTTGAGCAAGAGTTACACATAAAAAGATACACACAGAAAGTAAAGGCGGGAAGGAGGAAGGAAGGAAGTGTGGGTTGCATTTAGTACAGGTTTAAATGATTTAAAAAAAAAAAAAGAAAATTTTAAAGGAAGCTTTTACCCTTAAAGTCAAAAGAGTGATGATTATCTTTGGAAAAGTGAGGAGAAATAATCAGAAAGAGTTTTGGGGGACCTATGAGAGGCTGACTATATTGCATTTCTTAACCTGGATGGCAGTCACATACTGTTTTCATGTTGATCAATAGGATATATGAGTTTTTCTACATAGTCTTTGTGTTACAGTTCATAATAATGTTCTAAAAATATGATAGTTACTTAGATTACTAGGGTAATAGTGGAAACAGGGAGGGATATGGACTCAAGAGATATTTAGAAGGTAAAATCAACATGAGTTGGTAGGAAGGGAATATGGGGAAAGGAAAGGGTGAGGGTGGTATCTTTCTTGGGTTTCTGATGTAAGGGTCTATATTGATGGTGGTACATTTCCTGCTATAAGGCAGACTGGAGAATGAATGGAGATACCAAGTTCAGTTCTGAATACAAATAAAAGTCAATTCTTTATGGACTTCAAATCACTGAAATAACATCATCAAATAAAGTAATTGTCTTTCAGAGACAATACACTAATCAAATACCCTACTTCTGTAGTAAGAGAGGACAGAAAAGCTACATAGTCTTTCTACAGTCTGGAATGGAGTCACAGACCTCCAAACATAGGGAGCAGCTGAGAAAGCAGAAATACTAAGTCTAGCAAATAAGAGGAAGGCAAGAACGGAACAAAAAAGAATGAGAGTATCTGACCCAGTAACATTCTTTCTTCATCTGGATACTTTACTCAAGTTTTTCTACTTTCTGAAATTATCCCCATAACTAAGCTTACAACTGCCTCTGTCAAAAGCCTCTCTAATAACTGCTCTTCTCACCATTAAAATTGTCCTTGTTCAGGCTTTTCTCATCTTGCTATAGACTTAGCAGTCTCCTAGCTGGTCACCCTAACTCCTGTCTTACGTGGCCCTCATTCAATTCCTCCATCCACCATAGCACCCCCAGAGTGATATATCTGAAACAAAAATCCACAAGGCAGAATTCAAGAACCTTCTATTAGATAAGATTTCTAGTCTTATCTCTTAAAGGGCTCTCAATTTAAAACCGACACCAGCCCAACTATCTGTATCTCTTCTAATGTGACAGATTATTTCACATCTCTAAGTCTTTGCTCACAATTCTTCCTTCTTTCTAAAATGCCTTTCCTCTTGTTTTCCAACTAGTCAAAATCTGCTTTTTAAGATTCACCTCAAGCATCACCCTAGCTCAGTTGGTAAAGAATCTGCCTGCAATGCAGGAAACCCAGGTTCAATCCCTGGGTCAGAAGATTCCCTGGAGAAGGAAATGGCAACCCACTTCAGTATTCTTGCCTGGAGAATCCCATGGACAGAGGAGCCTAGCAGGCTATGGTCCATGGGGTCACAAGAATTGGACACGACTTAGTGACTAAACCACCATCAAGCATCACTACTCTATGATGCCCTTCTAGACCTATGCTCCCACGTAAAACGGATTACCTTCTTCTTTAAAAGTTACATCATAACCTGTCCCAGGGTTCATGATACCTGTAACACTGTATTGGGTTTCCCTGGTGGCTGAGTGGTAAAGAATCCACCTGCCAAGGCAGGCAACATGGTTCGATCCCTGGGTCGGGAAGATCCCCTGGAGAAGGAAATGGCAATCCACTCCAGTAGTCTTGCCTGGGAAATCATTGTGTAATTATCCATTTATTGTCTAATCTACCCAATCAGACTCAGATCAGGGATCGTATGTTAATCTCTGTATAACTAATATGAAGCAAACGCCTGGCAGAATTAGTATCCAGAACATTTTGAATGAATGAAAAAAATGAGTAAATTAATAACTCTAGACCTTAACTATCTATATATCACATGTATTATTTGGTCTACCAACTATACTAGTCCTTAAAGGACAAAGAACATGTCTCACAGTTCTATAACGTCCTCCACAGTAACTAATACAGTAGAATAAATGGAAGAATCCCTCATATGAAGTAAGTTCAGATACTGCTACCTGGCCACAGAAAAATTTGTAGTAGAAAAGCAGAAGCCAAAGTAGTTTCCACTAAAATACAAGATACCACATTTCTGGATAAAATAGAAGAAAGATAAATAATAAAACACCAAGGTCATCAATCTATATCTGGACCGACTTGTTTTCGCTCGTTAGAATCGATAGAATCTGCTAGACCTTTGGGGCTAGAATCTACTAGACTAAGGCAAGCAGCATGGCCTGGTTAAACAGCTTAGGGTCTGATTTAAGAACACTTCTTCTAGAGATGGTTATCAGTAATTTTTTAAAAGGAATCTTTTTATTATTAATTTTTGGCCATACCACAAGGCACGCAGGTTGTTCCCCAACCAGGGCCCAAACCCATGACCCCTGCAGTAGAAGCACAGTCTTAACCACTGGACCAACAGGACATCCCTAAAAAGAGTCTTTACTGTTAGAGATATAAACTGAAATTTAAGAGTAAAATGATATGATGCTAGGAATTTGTTTTCACAAGAATCTGGTGCAGAGGGTGAAAGTGGAGGAAATGGAGGTGGACAGTATGAGTTGGGGTGGGGGTAAGAATAAAACAAATCTGGACATGAAATGATAACTGCTGAAACTGGGTAATAATTACATGTGAATTAATTAAACTATTCTCTCTAACTGTATATAGATTTCTTCCATAACAAAAAGTTGAAAAAATATTCCATACAATCCAGAGATTCTACCCCTGGGAATTTATCAGAAGAAAACGAAAATACTAATTCCAAAAGATATGAGCACCACTGTTGCAGCATTGTAACAATAGCCAAGATACGGAATAATGTACAGCATTGGGAACATAGTCAATAACTTAACATCTTTGTATCGTGACAGATCATAACTCGATTTATTATGGTCATTTTGAAATGCATAGAAATACTGAATCACTATACTGAGTAGCGGGACCTAACATAAGGTTGTAGGTCAGTTACACTTTAAAAACAAACAAATTCATAGAAAAGGAGATTAGATTTGTGGTTACCAGAAGCAGAGGGGGGACAAGATAATAACCCAAGGATCGAACCCAGGTCTCCTGCATTGCAGACGGATTCCTTACCAGCTGAGCCACCAGGGAAGCCCAAGAATACTGAAGTGGGCAACCTGTCCCATCTCCTGGGGATCTTCCCGACCCAGGAATTGAACCGGGGTCTCCTGCATTGCAGCCGGATTCTTTACCAGCTGAGCTACCAGGGAAGCCCTTGATTATACTTTAAAAAAAAAAAAAAAAATGAATCCATAGAAAAGGGGATCAGATTTGTGGTTACCAGAAGCAGACGTGGGCAGAAGGGAACTGGATGAAGGCAGTCAAAAGGTACAAACTTTTAGTTATAAGATAAGTAAGTTATTAGGGTTGTAATGAATAACATGATAAATATAATTAACACTGCTGTATGTTACATATGAAAGCTGTTAGTAGAGTAAATCCCAAGCGTTCTCAACACAAGAAAAAAAAATTTTGTCTATTTCTTTAATTTTGTATCTATATGAGATGACAGATATTCATTAAATGTACTGTGGTAATCACTTTATGACTTACGCAAGTCAAATCATTATGCTGCAACGTTAAATGTAAATAGTGCTTTATGTCCATTATATCGCAATAAAGCGGGGGAAAAAAAGTCCCATGTTGTTCAAGAGAAGCTTACATCCTCATACAAGGAAATGGACAAGGAACAAAATAAATGAGAAAATTAAATACAATATTAGAAGATGGTAAGTGCTCTGGAGAAAACAAAATCAAGGAAGGGGTTAGAAAGTGCTAGAAGTGGGATACGCAGTTTCAATTTCAAATAGAGGGATAAAAGAAGACCTTAATGAAAAAGTAACATTTAAGCAAACACTTGACTGGAGTGTGGGAAACAGACATATGAACACCTGAGGAAGTGTTCCAAGCTGAAGGAAAGATAAGTGGAAAGACTGAGAAAGGAATATGCTTGACAGAGAAAATGGCAGACCAGACCAGGGTCGTGTCAAGGTGAGGGGTTCTAGGCTGAGGTAACAACATGGGAAAAGACACTGACTTCTTTTTTTTTTTTTTCATTTATTTTTATTAGTTGGAGGCTAATTACTTCACAACATTGCAGTGGGTTTCGTCATACATTGACATGAATCAGCCATGGAGTTACATGTATTCCCCATCCCGATCCCTCCTCCCACCTCCCTCTGGGTCTTCCCAGTGTACCAGGCCCAAGCACTTAAGACACTGACTTCTGAAAACACACAAGGTCTTTGGAAAACTGCAACCATTCATATTAAGCTAGAACATTATATACGTGAAGAAAAGGACTTTTATGTCATACATAAAAGATTTAAATAAAAATAGTTTATAAAAAGAAAAGAGACTAAAGGGGAAAAGATAAGAAGCAAGGAGGATCTTCAGTACATATACATCCTGACTGATGCAAATATGAAGTACAAATCATCTATAAGTATTCTTAAAATTTTCAAAAAATTAAAAAAATTTTAAATTTTTAAATTTTTAAATTTTAATTTTAAACTAAAATTTAATTAGTTAAAATTAATTAAAAATTAAAATTTAATCTAATTTAAATTTAAAATAAAATTTAAAAATTTCAAAAATTTTTCAAAAAATTTCAAAAATTTCAAAAAATCTAACAAAGTCTATTGATCTAACTTCCAGTTCATAGTAAATATAGGAGATAGAGGAGCAAGTTAACCAAGGAAGTAAACATATTCAGAAAACAAGACAGTTTGCAAAACAACTGACCAAATTTCTTTAACAGGTCATGTCACCAAAATAATAAAAACCGTTCCAGATTTTACAAAAAGCAAATGCCATGGGTGGACACAGTTTGCATTCTGATTTGAACAAATCAACTATAACAAGATATTCTGGGAACAACTAGAGAAATTTGGGGCTTCCTTGGTGGTTCAGTGGCATGGAATCTGCCTGCCAATGCAGGAGATGTGGAACTGATCCCTGGGAAGATCCCCTGAAGAAGAAAAGGACAACCCACTCCACTATCCTCTGTCGAAGGGAAATTCCATGGACAGAGGAGCCTGGTGGGTTACAGCCCATAGGGTCACAAGAGTTGGACACAACTTAGTGACTAAACCATCACCGCCAGAGAAATTTGAATATGAACTATTTGTTAGATGACATTAAGGAATAACTGAATTATACTGAGGTGGTTAGATGGTTATATCTTTTTTCAATGTACCTTTTTAAGAGATATTTAATGAACTGTTCAGGGGAAAATATTATGATACTTTAACCAAAACTTCAGGAAAGCAAATAAAGTAAATTTGACAAAATATTAATAACTATTTAACCCCAAAGATGGGTTATTTGGGAGTTCATTATAGTACTGTCTCTACTTTTCTATAAGCTTAATAATTTTCATACTAAAGTTTTCAAATTCTAAGTCATCTGTGATTCAAATATTTACAAATCATTTCTTCTTTTACCTCAGATCTCACAAACAAGAACTGAAAAAGAAACGCATTTGGTGACTTTCATTTTCTCTCTTTAAACTATTTTCTGTATTTAACCATATATGAGTTGATGCTTTTTTCTAGCCTATGAAAACAGAGAAATAAAATGATATATAACTTAAAAAAAAAAAAAGAGGGGCTACTGCAGTCAAGATATTGGGGCCCTGAATTAATTAAAGCAGTAACAGCAGAGAGAGGACCATATACCAGAGGCAAATCTGGTTACAGGAGAGTCCTGGTTGAAGTTAACTCCTCCTCTGTGCTCCAATGCACTCCCAGTACCCTCAGCAATTTGAGGCATTTTATCATTCACATCTGTTTCCATCTAGCTACTCTAAGCTTCTAAGGATAGGATCTTTTTGGATCTTTTGGACCTTTTTATCTCGGTATCCACAGTGCCTAGCATATGGAAAATACTGAGGAAAAGATTGCTGAATGAACACCTTATTTATTGTACCATTTTAATTCATTCTGCAGACAGAATACAACTCTCATACATACTGCCATCAGGTCCCAAGACCTTCTTACCTTGTAATAATGTTCCAAGAGAATCCTGACGACTCCCTCCACGCTTTCTGCCTCAACAGGTTTCCTGGCAAACTGAAGCAGGTACTGCAAAGCATCTGCTGGGGAGGTGGCCTTACACAGATCTATGTGGAGTGCTGCAGATTTACTTGGTTTTGTCAGCCGGAGTTTCTTAGTAGCAACTTCCTCCTGTTGTTGCTACAAGAGGATAAGAAAGATAAAACATGAAAACCTGGCTGAAAACAGAGTCTGCAAATCTAACTTTGCCTCATTTGATGAAAATTAACTTTTCCTACACCAAATAATATATTTGGGAAATAGACCTAGTCTAAACAAAAAAGCAGCATTATGAACCTGGGGAAAAGAGCCAACTGGAGACAAAGTTGAGTCCCAATTTTGCTTTTCACTAGCTCCAGTGGCTTTGGGCAAGTCATTTCATTTCTTCAAGTCTCAGCTTCTTTCTCTGTAAAGTAGGTCGATAATATTTTTTTCTGCCTATCTCTTAGGATTGCTGTAGCTTCGGGGTTAAGAGGACACACAAAGGATCTGTTCCACTCTGTAACAGAACAGAAATCTCAATTCAACAAATATATTCAGATTGTGCTAAAGCACTTACTAGGCTCACCTTCCCTCCTGAGAAATCCAGAACTGACAGGAACAGTCTATAGCTTACACTAAGGGAAAAAGTCTTCTCACAACAGATGACTATTTTCACCCAAATCATTCTACCTTTATTAGAAGAATGGACCGTGTAGGGGAAAAATGCATTGCCATATGCCTAGCAAACTGCAGCTACTTAATAAATGTTAACTAAATGACTGATGTGGAATTACGTGAGATCCAACTCTGCTGCTCTCTTCTAAGGATGTCACAATTCCCAGTTTCATCATCTATAAAATAGGAATGATGACCTACCGCTAGTCTTTCTCAATCCTCATCTGAACCACAGAACACACAAAATGAGCTGAGTAACTATCTTCTTGATTCTCTCAAGAATAGTGCATAACTAGAACTATTTCAGACACATCTGTTACATATGAGTGTCGAAAAGTTCGTGTAAAAGGGAACCTTCACTCCAGGGCTTAAGTAAGGCCCTGGTGGGTAGATATAGAGAGGATCACAACATAAGATTAAAGTTGTAATCAATAATTTTCCTTAACACTTGATGCATCCTAATGATACCTTGAAGAATCATCTCTTTATAAAATTACACCTCCACAAAGACTAAAGAGTCAGATTATTCTAGATGGGAACAAGGCACAGCATGATAAGACTAAGGGCTTTGAAATCAAAGGAATTTGAGTTAAATTATCACTTGGTAGCTAGAGGTCTTCTCCTTCTATAAAAAGGAATACAATACTTACATCACAGATACACTTGAGAAGTCTAAATTACAATGGCTTCATTGTACAAACACATCATATGCACCACATTCATATCAATTCTCTCTCATCTTCATGGCAGAGGAAAAATAACAGAAGCATTAAGATCTCATTTCATTACTCTGTGGTAACCATTCACAAGCAATGAAGAGAAAAAATGAGCTCTTAAAATCCTTACCCATTTCCATACTATTCCACACAAATTCATTCTTCAGTGTTATCAGCAGTTTGGCCAAAAAACTATAAGATTTTTTTCCCTAAGGAGCACATAAGGAGAAGGACAAACCAACATCTGCTATCATTCAACCATCAATGTTTTAGTGCACCAGGCCCTATGGTCTATCCAGGGAACACAGATGAACCAAGCGTTACCTCTGCCCTCAAGGAGCCCAAACTGGTAGGGAGAAACAAATACTAGTAACTCCAGTAGCACTGAGTGATAAATACAAATAGATGAGTGCTACAGAAGGAGGGGAGGAGAGACTAAAGCAAAAATGTAAGTCCACTGGGTGGAGAACAAAAAGAGAGCAAAGAATGACATCCATTCTACGTAAAAGAGACAACAGATACAAATGTTTGAAAAGGTCCAAACACATGGCATGCTGGAGGAAGGATGAGTAGTCTCGGTAAGAGGGACAACAGAATAAAGAAAAGAAGTGACACTGCCCAACAAAGTGAATGTACTTTATGTCACTGAACTCCACACTTAAAAGCAAGCCACGGAAGAGGGAGAGCTCTGTAAAGCTTTCCTGAATCTTGACTCATTCTAGAAGTTCAAGAAAATGAGCTTCACATAAAAAGGAGCAACAAGAGTGACAAGGTAAGTACCAAAGTTATTTTCAGAAAATAAACAAGAATAAGAAGTCAACTAACTTCCCTACACAGAATGGAAATATGCCACCCACAAAAAAAAAAAAAAAAGGCAGTGAAGGAATACTGTTAAATCACGAAGGGCAAGGGAGTTTGGCTAGTTTTCACAAAAAGTAGTTGTAAAAGAGTAAGAAAGACTTGGTTTGTTGATGCAATTACCTCTCTGTACTACAATCTCAGATATGGTGCTCCACATCTCCCACTTGCCTGCGAGTTCCAACAGGACAGGGACCCTTAATGTGTATTGGATTTTATAGCTCAGCACCTTCCACCATACCTAATACTGATACATAATAACCACTCTTTAATTCAATAAACTCTTGTTGAAGAATGAAATACTAAATACTAAAGGAAATACTTAAGGATCAGCGTCCTGCTGCATGGTCTAAATCTTGCTAGACCACAAGTCTATGGATGGGAACCTGCTATTGGCTGGCATTAACCGGGGGCTTTTCAGAAATGCAGATTATTGCCTTGCCTCCCCCAGCCAATTCATTTCCTAAGTAGAATCTACATTTTCACAAGAGCCCAGGTGATTTGGATACACAAAGTCAGGGAAGCAGGACACAAGGTATGACTTGGGGATCAACCTCTACTTTAGTGATCTCTCTGAAGAAATACATAGAGAGTCACTGACTGCCCCTCAGTCCTGAAACAACTCCAAAGGAGGACGGATGGTACTGCCCTCCCTTATATGTGAAAGGGTGGGGGTGAGCTGTTCCACCAAAGAAAATTTCAACCCCTATGAGGCCTGTGACCCTCACCTGCTGTGACTGGGTCTTGAGGATTCCTACAGACTCCTCTTCCAACCCCTTAGAGCGCTTCACACAGCCAACTTGGCTTTGGGCGCTTTTTTGGTAACGGGAGTTGGGAGGAAATTTGTCAGTACCCCACAAGAGGTCTCAAAGTCCTCATTTGTAAAAGGAGGATGCTAATGAACTGTGGTGTTTGGGGAGGCCTCTTGAAAGTCCCTTGGACAGCAAGGAGATTAAACCAGTCAAACCTGAAGGAAATCAGTCCTGAATATTCACTGGAAAGACTAATGCTGAAGCTGAAACTCCAATACTTTGGCCACCTGATGCGAAGAACTGACTCAGTGGAAAAGACCCTGATGTTGGGAAAGACTGAAGGCAGGAGGAGAAGGGGACGACAGAGGATGAGATGCTTGGATGGCATCACCCACTCGATGGACGTGAGTTTGAGTAAACTCCGGGAGTTGGTGATGGGCAGGGAGGCCTGGCGTGCTGCAGTCCATGGGGTCGCAAAGAGTCAGACACGACTGAGCTGCTGAACTGAATGAAACATGAATAAAATGTGATAACAGATAAGATACTTTGGTAAATTGTAAGGTGCTGTTTGCTTCTTCTAATAGTTTTTTTTAGTGTCAGACTGCACATGTTAATACTGACAACAGCAGCGGCCAACGAACACGCCCACTACAGCGTAGTCCGAGAGGCAGCCTACCAAAGCTCTGGTAGCACGGGCACCCTACCCAGCTTTGTGGCGCCAGTTCTGGCAAAGTGTCTGGGGCGTGGATAACCTTCCTCTTTCCCAGACCAGTCCTGGGACCTTTCCTTCGAGAGCTTACCTGAACCACCTTAGTGAACTCCTCATAAACCCGCTTCTTCAGATGGGCCGCCATGGTTGTCCTTCTCAGCTTCCGTACCCGAAGAGGCTAGCAGGGGCAGAGGATACGAAAAAACTTGCCCAGAAGAGAGGAACCAGCCGCTGTCCCACAAGGCAGTGGGGTTCCGGGAAAGAGAGGCCGCTTCCGGCCGCTCGACTGCCTTGTGGCTATGCTTCCGGATTTAGCGACCTACGCCTGCTGCGCGGGAGGAACGGAAACCGGAGCCGGAGCGTAGCACAGGGGGCGGGGCTTCTGGCAGGAGGAGGCGGGCCGGAAAGGCTGGAGGAGCCAACGGGAGCTTTGGGGGGCTTTCTGTTGGGTTTGAGTGACGGAGAAAATAACAGGGTTTGGAAACGGAGGGGTGGGGGGGAGTGCTACAGTGTAAAGGGCAGAGGTGGAGCTATCCAGAGCTAGAGAGAAAACCTGGAGCTGTGTGAGGATTCGAGAAGGCAATGGCAACCCACTCCAGCACTCTTGCCTGAAAAATCCCATGGCTGGAGGAGCCTGGTAGGCTGCAGTCCATGGGGTCGCACGGAGTCGGACACGACTGAAGCGACTTAGCAGCAGCAGTGTGAGGATTCTGACTCAGAAGATAACCTAAAGAGGTCAGACTGACAGCTCCATCATCCATGGCTGTTCTCAGTGTTTGCTCTCTCTGTGCCCTGTGCCTTTTGATCGAGCTGTTGCTCAAAACCTGAGTTTGCCTTCTGGTTGGTGTCAAGCCTGAAGACCCAACTAACCAAAGTTCCAAAGAAGTAAAGACATATTACTTGCAGAATTAAGGAGAGCACAAGCAATCTTCCCGAAAGCAGGGTCTCCAAACAGCAAAATTGGGGACGCTTTAAGCTAAGTGTTAGTCGCTCGGTGGTGTCCAGCTCTTTGAGACACCATGGATTGTAGCCCACCAGGCCACTCCATCCATGGAATCCTCCAGGCAAGAATACTAAAGTAGATTGCTGTCCCTTCTCCAGGGGATCTTCCTTCTCCAGCTGGATCTCCCAGGGATCCAGCTCAGGTCTCCTGCACTGTAGGCAGATTCTGACCTACCTCAGAAGCCTAAGGGTGCGTGCATATTCATTCATGAAGGGGCCTGACCAGAGGAGAATTCAGCATTGGATTGGGGCAGAGGTCTACAGGGCCCAAGCTTTAGTTGATTGAAGTCAGGAGGGTAGACATTGGCATTCCATCTTCCACATGAGTGGGGAACATTAATTTTACAGAACTCAAAGACATATATCAGATTGTTACATATATCTTTTAAGGAAAAAACTGGTTTCTGACTGCAAGGAACAAGAAAACTTGTTTCTTTTGTTCCTGCATTCCCTCACTTCTCTCAAGATAATTAATTACTGAGACCTGTTCAAGGACAAGCATTGTGGTCAGGCTTAGATCAAACAATGGCTTAAGCCCAAAATGGCTTTTCTTACATCTTTTTCTAGGGACCCCCCCCACCCTATCTGCTTACAAAGTTGTATGCCACCCCTCCAAACCTCTCCTGGCCTAGGGTACTTTTTCCTGCTCTCTCACTCCAGTTGTTGAAAAGCTACCTATCCTTTAAGGAATCAAGCCATCATCTGATAGCTAGGGGAGAGTGGAAAGAATTCTGAGGCCAAGGATCAACAACAAAGCTTCAGATCACACACCTCAGATGGGATTTGAACCCAGCCAAAACTCTGATGGGGATGTGAAACCATAAGGTGGGACTTGAACCCACTGTCTTTCAGTTAAGATTGCTCACCTTGTATCAGAAGTTACTGAAGCTCAGGTTCTTTTATGTCTCAGCATAGAAAGATTTCAGCAAGAAGCAAAGTGATAGGTAAGCAGTGGATTTTTTTAGAGAAATACACATCTCATAAACAGAATGTGATCTTTCTCAAAAGGCAAGAGCAACCCTGGGAGGAACAGCCTCCACAGACAGAGTGTGTGTCAACTCATAAGATGAGAGGCCCTGAAATATGAGGTGATTAGTTTTTATGGCCTAAGTAATCTCATAGACTAATGAGTGAGAGGATTATTTTAAATATTTGGGGGCAGGGATGGAATTTCCAGGAACTGGGCCACCACCCACTTTCTGGTCTTTTATGGTTGGGCTCAGAACTGTCATGGTGCCAGTAGGGGTGTCATTTAGCATATGCTAATGTACACATTAGCCTGTAATAGGCCCCAGGTCTACTGGAAGGTGAATCTTCTGCCATCTTGGACCTACTTGGTTCTAACTAATTTATGTTTTATCCTCAATAGTTATGTCATTCTTTTTATTTGTTTGTTTTTTGGCTGTAACATGTGGCTTGCAGCATCTCATTACTCTGACCAGGGATTGAACCCAGGCCACAGCAGTGAAAGTTTGGAATCCTAACCTCTGGACCACCAGGAAACTCCTAGCTATTGTCATTCTTTTAAAGGTTGTGCCCTGCCCCCTTCCCTTCTGTTTCACTACACCTGGCACTTAATGAACAAGTAGCCTCAACTACAATTGCAGTAACACCTAACCCAACAAAGAGGTAGTGACAGTGGAATGAAATAATGCAGAAATATTTTGCACTATAAAGTGTAGGTCACATGCGGGTGTTAATAAATCCAAGGTCAAGGTTTACATCCTGCATTATGCTTTAGCTGTGCCAACTAAAAAGATGAACAGCCTGAGAGCTGTGAGCTAAGTTTAATTTGGGGCAAAATGAGGACTACAGCCCAAGAGAAAAAGGTATGTTTGTTCAGTTGTGTCCAACACTTTGTGACCGCATGGACTGTAGCCAGCCAGTCTCCTCTGTCCATGGAATTTTCCAGGCAAGAATGCTGGAATGGGTTTCATTTCCTTCACCAGGGAATCTTCCCGATCCAGGGATCAAACCCACGTCTCTTGCATCTCCTGCATTGGCAGGCAGATTCTTTACCAGTTGAGACTCCAGGGAAGCCAAGAGAGAGCATCTCAGATAGCTCTGAGAGACTACTCCAAATAAGCAGTGGGGGGAAGGTCAATATATAAAATTTTAGTGAAGGGGGAGTTCACTGCAATCAATCAAGTCACAAATCAAGTGACTAGTTTTTCTGCTAGTCGCAAGGAACTGATATCACTATGGGGGGATTTAGTGCTTTCTAGATAAGAGGAGATGCAAGGAGTCAGTCAGTCAGTGCAGGGGCTCAGTCATGTCTGACTCGTTATAACCCCATGGACTGCAGCACACCAGGCTTCCCTAACCATCACCAACTTCCAGAGCTTACTCAAACTCATGTCCATCAAGTCAGTGATACCATCCAACCATCCTCTGTCATCCCCTTCTCCCGCCTTCAATCTTTGCTAGCATCAGGGTCTTTTCCAATGAGTCAGTTCTTCACATCAGGTGGCCAAAGTATTAGAGTTTCAGCTTCAGCATCAGTCCTTCCACATGAATATTCAGGACTGATTTCCTTTAGGATGGACTGGTTGGATCTCCTTGCAGTCCAAGGGACTCTAAAGAGTCTTCTCCAACACCACAGTTCAAAAGCATCAATTCTTTGGTGCTCAGCTTTCTTTATAGTCCAACTCTCACATCCATACATGACAACTGGAAAAACCACAGCTTTGACTAGACAGACCTTTGTTGGCAAAGTAATGTCTCTGCTTTTTAATATGCTGTCTAGGTTGGTCATAGCTTTTCTTCCAAGGAGCAAGCATCTTTTAATTTCATGGTGGCAGTCACCATCTGCAGTGATTTTGGAGCCCAATAAAATAAAGTCTCTCACTGTTTCCACTGTTTCAGCATCTACTTGCCATGAAGTGATGGGACTGGATGCCATGATCTTAGTTTTCTGAATGTTGAGTTTTAAGCCAGCTTTTTCACTCTCCGCTTTCTATTTCATCAAGAGGTTCTTTAGTTCTTCTTCACTTTCTGCCATAAGGGCGGTGTCATCTGCCTATCTGAGGCTATTGATATTTCTCCCAGCAATCTTGATTCCAGCTTTTGCTTTGTCCAACCCAGCATTTCTCATGATGTACTTTGCATATAAGTTAAATAAGCAGGGTGACAATATACAGCCTTGATGTTCTCCTTTCCCGATTTGGAACCAGTCTGTTGTTCCATGTCCAGTTCAAACTGTTGCTTCTTGACCTGCATACAGATTTCTCAGGAGGCAGATCAGGTGGTCTGGTATTCCCATCTCTTTAAGAATTTTCCACAATTTGTTGTGATCCACACAGTCAAAGGCTTTGGAATAGTCAGTAAAGCAGAAATAGATGTTTTTCTGGAACTCTCTTGCTTTTTGATCCAACAGATGTTAGCAATTTGACCTCTGGTTCCTCTGCCTTTTCTAAATCCAGCTTGGACATCTGGAAGTTCACAATTCATGTAGTGTTGAAGCCTGGCTTGGAAAATTTTGCGTATTACTTTCTAGCATGTGAGATGAGTACAATTATGCAGTAGTTTAAGCATGCTTTGGCATTGCCTTTCTTTGGGATTGGAATGAAAACGGACCTTTTCCAGTCCTGTGGCCACCGTTGAGTTTTCCAAATTTGCTGGCACATTGAGTGCAGCACTTTCACAGCATCATCTTTTAGGATTTGAAATAGCTCAACTAGAATTCCATCACTTCCACTAACTTTGTTCGTAGTGATGCTTCCTAACGCCCACTTGACTTCACATTCCAGTATGTCTGGTTCTAGGTGAGTGATCACACTATTGTGGTTATCTGGGTCATGAAGATCTTTTTGTATAGTTCTTCTGTGTATTCTTGCCACCTCTTCTTAATATCTTCTGCTTCTGTTAAGTCCATACCATTTCTGTCTTTTATTGTGCCCATTTTTGCATGAAATGTTCCCTTGGTATCTCTAATTTTCTTAAAGAGATCTCTAATCTTTCCCATTCTGTTATTTTCCTCTATTTCTTTGCATTGATCACTGAGGAAGGCTTTCTTATCTCTCCTTGCTATTCTTTGGAACTCTGCATTCAAATGGATATATCTTCCCTTTTCTCCTTTGCCTTTTGCTTCTCTTCTTTTCTCAGCTGTTTGTAAGGCCCCCTCAGACAACCATTTTGCCTTTT